TCCCTGTTATACTCTAAAAAAGTTTTATTTCATGCTTCACAATAAAATCTATGATCCACTTTGAGCTACTTTTGGTAATAAGGTATGAAGTTGAGATCAAGTTTGTTTGTTTGTTTGTTTTTTGGAGGGTGCTAGGGATTGAATACAGGGTTTTGCTCTACAGCAAAGCTACACCTCTGACCTCAAGGTTCATTTTTTAAACTACAATTAAGGGGATGAAAAGACAATTGGCAGACCCAGAGAAAATACTTAAGCACACCTATATCACAAAGTGCTCATATCTAAAATACATAAAGAGTTTTCAATATTCAATAGTCAAAAAGAACAGTGAGAAAACTGGCAAAATAAGAAATATTTCACCAGAGGATAAGTGGATAACAAATATGCAATGAAAAGATTTAACATTACAAATCATTAGGGAAATAAATGCAAATTAAGACCATGATATCACTGCACATCTATTAGAACAGTTAAAGTAGAAAAGTAACAATATCAAATGCTAGTGAGTATGCAGAGAAACTGAATCTCTCATACACTACTGGTAGAAATATAAAATGGTACATCCATTCTGGGAAAGTTCATCAAGCTAAACACACATTTACCATATAAGGTAATAATTGCACTGCTGGGCATTTATCTCAGACACCTCAAGTTACGTCTACACAAAGACGTACACACGAATGCTCAAAGCAGGTTATAATAATCAGAAACTGGAAACAACCAAAATGTCCAATAGATGAATAATTAAACAGTGGTACACCTATACCAAGGGATGCTACTCAGCCTGATACAAGGAACAAACTATTGATACCTGCAACTAGGATGGATCTCAAAAACATTATGCTTAGTGACAAAAGTCAATTTCAAAAAGTTACATATTGTTTGATTCCATTTATATAACATTATAGAAAACAACAAAATTACAGAGATGGAGCTGGGCAGTGGCACATGGCACACCCCTATAATCCCAGCAGTTTGGGAGGCTGAGGCAGGAGGAGCGTGAATTCAAAACCAACTCAGCAATTTAGTGAGGCCATAAGCAACTTAGTGAGACCCTGTCTCTAAACATATATAAAAAAGGATGGGAATGTGACTCAGTGGTCTCAGTGGTTAAGTGCCTCTGAGTTCAATCCCTATTACCTGCCCCGAAAAAACTATAGAGATGGAGAACAGATTAGTAGTTGTCAGAAATTAAGGGCAGTGGGGGGGAGGGAGATGGGAGGAGTGTCAGGCAGGTATGACTGTAAAGCGGTAGAAGGAAGGAGATCCTTGTGGTAATGGAATAGTTCTGTATCTTAGTAGCGGTGGCTACATGAATATACTCTTGAGATAAAATGATACAGAAATATGTACATACTTATCCCAATTTCCTGGTTCTGACACTGTACTATAATTATGTACGATGTAACCAATGAAAGGACCTGAGTGAAGTATACACAGGGGCCCCACTGTACTTTGCAACTTCCTGTGAATTTATACTTATTCCAAAATAAAAAGTTGTTAACATGAACTCAACATAAAACAATCCAAAAGTCTGGAAAGCATAGAAGGAATCTGCAAATTTGCTGACAAGAATGAGGTTGTAATGATAAATGCAAACCAAAGAGGAATAGAGTGGCCATATGCTATCTAAAAAAGAGATGGATAGTTTGTTCAACTCCCAAAACAGTTCAATCAACCATTTACTGACTACCTGGTATTTGCAAGACATAGTGTTTTAAGCAATTATAGGGTTAAAAGATTGAGCACTTAGCTCTGAATGAATTTACTCTCTAAGACAAGGGCCTCCACAAAAGCAGTGTTCCTTCACCTGGAATGTTGTTTTGCCTTTTTTTTTCTCTAGTTAGTTCTTACTCATCCTTGAACCCTCATTCAGTGTCACTTCTTCAGGGAAATTCTCCTAGATCTTCTCATTGCCCGCCACATTAGATCAGTTTCTTGTATTACATGTTTGAACAGCACCCTATATGTTTCATTCATAATATTAATCACCAGTCATGAACAATTGTGTGATTATTTGATATCACTTTCCCCGATGGGCTAAAATCTCTGAAGGGACATAGGTCTATGTGTCTCATCAATGTATTCCAAATCCAATGCCATGCCTGGCAAATGACAGAAACTCAAAACATATTAGATAATAAATCCATGCAAAGATGTAGTTCATATGTACAAATGAGCAGACAATAAGCTACTGGAATTTGGAAGAAACTAATTATCAACTTCAACCTGAGAGGCCAGTTTATATGGAATAAAAGCTTCATGTAGATGATAAAGAAACTTGAAGTCTAGCCTTTCAACAACAGGAACCTACCAAAGAACTAAAATGAGATTGGTGGTCCAATGTGTTCTTTAGAAGAATTAATGTGAAAATGGACTTGAACTGAGAAAGTAAGGGGGCAATAAAAATAATTAAAGCCAGCTGTGGTGGAGCATGCCTACAGTCCCAGCTACTTAGAAGTCTAAGGTTCATGGTTCACTTGAACTCATGAACCTAAGACCAGTAACATATTAAGACCTTCATCTCAAAATAATCAATTATTTAACTAAAATGACCCTGTAGGATTAAAAGGATACTGTGATAGTGCAGGGCACAAAATGATAAGGTCCTGAATTAGAGTGGCCATGGAAATAGAAAAATGTGAGAAACACTAAGAATAAAGGAACAACAGAGCTTAACAACTGATTAGATAGGGAGGAATGAAAAGGGGAAGAGTCAAAGATGATTCAGGAGATTCAACAGTGAAAGACAGTACCAATAACCGAAGTGACTAAGTCCTCTTAGGAGAAGAAATGTGCTTTGTTGGAAGTGATGGGGGCATCCACACAATTTAAGATATGAGATCAGACATAGGAGAAAAGTCAAGATTGGCAATGTAGAAGTATGAACTGAGGGGTTAAGGTTGGAAGAACAATGAAGTTTCTCAGGAAGAAGGTGTAATGGGTCTTGGATGGAAATCACTTAAGATGATTTGATAGTCCCTTGGTCAATTTATGCATTTATCAAACTCAAGAGTAATCCAGATAATCAGCTTCTTGACAGCATTTCTGATATCCTCCTTGCCTTCCCTAAAGCACATAATATACAACTTTGTACTTAATCTGGTACATAACAAGTAGCTTTTTAAAGGAATCAACCATTCAATTTCTGATTGACATAAAAAATGCTGCCATACATAGTAGTCTGAAAGGAAGAAGCTTTACTTTCAATTAGTAAAATCACTGAACTTAGTTTAAATCAATTATCCAAAGCTTTGGGAAATCAGACCTTTGGATAAATTATTTAAAGTAAATTCATTGAAATAATAAGAAAATGAAACAAATGAAAATTTTCAACTGTATACACTCTAACTCAAAAAGTAAAGAAGCTTCAGGTGAATTGAAGGATAACTAATCTAAATGACAAAACTGAGGATAGTCAAAAAATACATATATAAAATCTTTTTTACAAATGAGGAAGAAGTCATTGGCCTGCTCTCCCACAAAACATAAGTATTTCAGTCAAAATGGGCTAATGTACTAATCTGCTTCAATACTTCAGTAGCCAGGCCTGGTGGTCTGGGCCTGTAATCATAGTGGCTCAAGTGGCTGAGGCAGGAGAATCGGGAGTCCAAAGCCAGCAGCAATGGCAAGGCACTAAGCTACTCAGTAAGACCCTGTCTCTAAATAAAACACAATATAGGGCTGGGGATGTGGCTCAGTGGTGGAGTGCCCGTGTTCAATCTCTCATACCAAAAAAAAAAAAAAAAAAAAAAAAAAATCCCAATACTTGAGTGAACAGTATTTTTTCTAGTAGTAGTTTAAATATAAGAAAAGCTAATAAAATGGATTGAGGGACAAATTTGTTGACAGCCTTCCAAAATTAAATTACCACTGTATTGCCAAATTAAGCCCTCTCAAGGCCGCAGTCTGCCACTTAACTCTAACCCTGAATCAAGCAATGTCCTACGTGTTTTTAGGTAGGCCTGCTCCTGGGAGAAGTCAGGGAAAAGAAACCAGCTGGAGTTATGGCAACTCCAGGAACCTGACAAGTAGTCTATAATCCGACTACCCTCTCAGCATTAGACTGCCTTCCATGAGTTTAAAAGATGGTCATTCTTTGTCTACATATTTCCAACAACAGCAAATGAACCACTGATAAACTGACCATTCTGACAGTCAGACAGGTAAGATTGGTGGTAAAGCCTAAGAAGTTATCTCTCAGTAACTTTCTCTGTTGGTCCCATTTTTTCAAGGACAACACAGAGAAAGATGAACGTTGTCGTCCACTTTTCGTTTAACTTAAAAAAAAAATAGGTATTGCTTCTTAGTATATCAATATGTTCCTTCTCTTAATAATGGGGATATCTAACCATTCCCCTTAAAGAGAAGAGGAATATCAGCCACAGGGAACAGAGCCGTGACCTCCGGAGCAGAGCTCCGACAGGGGGTTTAAATAACCACACACGTACGTGTACACACACACACACACACGAGTTGCAGCTGATTTATGAAATCCCCATTGCCAAGAGGCAAGCTCCAGCCAGTACCCAGGTGACACACGGAAGACACACGGACCTGCCTGGCGGCTCGGAGGCTGCGGGGGCCAACGAGCCTGCACCTCTTCTGGCCAAAGCCCAGGGGAGCTGAGTGGGCGCTGGTTCCCAGGCCGGCGGCAAGCCCCACAGGGCAGCGCGCCCGGCCCGGGAGAAGCGGCATCGCCGGGAAGGCTCAGTGAAACGCCTGGCCAAACCCAAGCCTGCGCCGCTGGGCCGGCTGCCGATAGCCCAATCCCCCCGCCTGTCGCACGCCGTGCTGGGAGCCCGCACTGGTGAGAGCTCCCGGAGTTGTCTCCACCGGGGTCCCGTCTATCAGCCGTCCACCCTCCCTCACTCCCGGCCCAAGCCCCAACCAGAGGACACCGCAGGGGGTGGTGCCCAGGAGACGCACCGCGCTTGGGGGAATACGGCGGGCGGGTCCCGGGCTCCCCGGCAGGAAGGCGGCCGCAGCGGGTCACTCACCGAGAGGACGCTCATGCGGATTGGGGTCTCCAACAGGCACGCCATCTTGAGCCTTCCCACCCGGCTGCTGCCGGCGCCGGCGCGGGGGCCGGCACTTTCGACAGCCAACTACTGGGCCAACGGCAGGAGCCTCTGCAGAAAGTCAGGCAGGTAGACGAGACCGACCACTCTCTGGATGCCGCTCAAGTATGGGAAGGACCCGCAGAAGGGCGAACAAAGGGGACCCTCTCCAAGAGCCTCCTTACGAATCGTCCTCTCTGAAACGGCAGCTACTGTCAGCCTGGGTCAGAGGTGGGCGCGGGCAGCGGATTCCGCATGCGCAAAGATCTGCCGGCCCCACCTGCCGTTCGTGGTGGGTGGAGCCTCGGGGGCGGAGTCTCGCTCTGGCGTTGCGAGCTGTCCAGACTGATAAATTGCATTCTATGCGTTCACGTATTCATATTCCGGAAAACTAGTATGTGGAGCCACCCACCTACATAGTTTGAAGTTCACTTTCACATTCATTATCTCTCCATTTGCACCGAACTCTTAGCGTCATTATCATCTCCATTTTATAGGTAGGGAAACTGTGATCTCAAAACCAAGGTTTCTGCCGCCAAGAACAGTGATTATTTCACGATCCAGCCCTTAACTGTGACCTGCTTTAGCGTTGAGTGCCCGACCTATTTATTCTGGTATAGTGTTAAGAATAGACACTCTGGAGCAAAAACGCTTGGGTTTAACCCTCGCTATTTCTCTTACTAGCTGCCTTGCCGTTACCTTGAACAGGTTACTTAACCTCCTTAGGTTTCGGTTCCTCCTCTGTAAAATCAATTTTATAAGAATAGAGGAACTAATAAACCTGAAGCACTTAGAACATGTCTGGAATCTTAGAAAGCATTACACAATATACATGTTAGTATTTCTGAAGCCTCTATGTCAAGTTGGGGGAAAATGGGTCAAATATCTGAATTCTTCATACTGGAACACTCCCGATAACTGAAGTCAAACAAAAGTACGTCCTTAATTATATTTTCCGATTAATTCACATCTCCTACTCCTTCATGTGAGGTTGGGCGCGCGCGCTTATGTGCAACACTGCTCTTGACTCAATGGACCGGTTTCACCTTCCTGCTTATTGCAACCAGTAGGGTTTTCACAGGATGAGTGCAATGAGCCTATTACATTACTTGTCTTTCCTTCCATTTCTCCCTAATCCGTGCTATTACCTCTCCCTTGAACTAAAGCAGTAGCCTTCCAACTGGTCTGAGCTTTACCTCTGTTCTGTCTCCCCACTGTACTTGACTTCTAAATCCATGGTAACATTTATCATACTTGTTTATGGATCTGTTTGCCTTTAAAAATTGTTGTGTTCCCAGAAGGCAGGAATTATATTTTAGACAACCTTGCTATAACTATTTCCCAAGCTCCGAAAGTCTGCATACTACCTACACAATCTCTGCCAATCTGCACCCAGGAATTATCAATTATTCAATATTTTTCTTTAAAGCCAATTTTAACACATTTAAAAATTTTAGCCTCATCCCAAACCATAAAAATCAAGTTTATAAAGCACTCTATTTTTATTCTGGTGCATTAACATCCATAACTATTTTTAAAAAAAGTTTAAATGCCCATCCTATAACATTTAAAATCATGTCACACAAAATCATGGAATATGCAGGGGAATGGATGGCATTAGAGCAGATTATGCTAAGTGAAGCTAGCCAATCCTTAAAAAACAAATGCCAAATGTCTTCTTTGATATAAGGAGAGCAACTAAGAACAGAGCAGGGAGGAAGAGTATGAGGAAAAGATTAACATTAAACAGAGACGAGTGGTGGGAGGGAAAGGGAGAGAGAAGGGAAATTGTATGGAAATGGAAGGAGACCCTCAATGTTACTCAAAATTACATATAAGAGGTTGTGAGGGGAAAGGGGGGGGGGAACAAGGGAGAAAACTGAACAACAGCAGATGAGGTAGAGAGGGAAGATGGGAGGGGAGGGGAGGGGGGATAGTAGGGGATAGGAAAGGTAGCATAATACAACAGTCACTAATATGGCATTATGTAAAAATGTGAATGTGTAACCGATGTGATTCTGCAATTTGTATTTGAGGTAAAAATGGGAGTCCATAACCCACTTGAATCAAATGTATGAAAGATGATATGTCATGAGCTTTGTAATGTTTTGAACAACCAATAAAATAAAATAAAATAAAATCATGTCACATATTGCAAACCACAACCTGGCAGCCCATAACTTACACATAGCATACAAAACTATTAATTTAATTTTCAGTTAACTATTGTATGATGCAGTCATTATAGCTTTATGCAATTTATGCTCATCAATTCACTCAAGCTATACGTCTGGCAGGGAAGCCCCACCCCAAGTATGCCATAGGTGATCCCTCCCCCAAATCTTCATGCATCACTTTTTCTTGCAGCTACCAATATATTGTACAATATATTGTTATTGTATTGTTTTTTCTTAATTATACTAGTTTGTCTCCTCATCAGGCAATAGGGATTTTATCTCCTAGGACTTTTATCTCGATATCTAACATAGTCATTTACAAAATGTTTGCTGAATCTCTGGCTTAGTTTGAGATGGGGACATTTATACTGGATATATGTACATATATACTAGATACATGTACATATATACTAGATATATATGTACATATATACTAAATATCTATTACATTCCAGGTACTATGCCCAGGAGTGGGAATACAATTATGAGCAAGATGGATCTTTCAGGAAAGAGCAAAAGAGAAATAAGTGCAAACAAGTTTAGAATGTAGGGATAAAGATGTAGATACAGGTAGTTTATTTGGGAAATACCTCCAGGGTACAGAATTGATCGGTTAGAGAGAGTGAAAAAAAGGAAAAGCCAATGAAAAGTCAATATAAAAGGGCAAGATTTATTCTCTGAGCACCTCTGGAAACACAAATTCCACCTTGGATTGTTCATCTTGAGGCTGGGGCATTGCCTACCACTCACCCTCATGCTGTATTGGTTGAGGATTTCCCCAGAGTGTTAACTCCTACACCCCTGGACTACACTTGTGCACAGAACAGAGAGGGCTTCCTTAAGCAGGTGTACAAAGGCAGAGTCTGAAGGTTTGCTCTTGTGGTAGGATACAGTCAGAATACATCTGACCTCACCCAGAATTGTCACTACAGCTGGAGCTGAAATGGGGGATGGGTGTGGGTAGGAAATGTGACCTGAGGCATCCAATATCTCTGCTATCAGGCTTCCCTGTTTTATTCAAGAGACTAACATGGCCATTTTACGTGATGGAAGCATTGAATAGAAAACCTCTAAATTTGAGGGTCAGAAATATTGTTTTTAGTTCAACTTTGCTGCTAAATAACTTTAGGTAGAGTTTGAATATAAGAAGAGTAGAAATTGAGGGGTAAGAAGAAATCTGATTCCGCCTCCACATAAGGAGGAAACAGTTAATTTTGGTACTGCACTGAGGGGAGGCAAACACCCACACCAACTTCCTTGCAAATGAAACTTCTCTCTCTCAGAGCAGTATTAATTTCTGAAAAATAATGACAAGAATGAGAGTTTAATGATGAAAAATAGAATACAGAACAAGAAATAAGTTGCCAGGGGAAAAAATCTGGGAAGCATTTAAAAATAGTTATATAGAACTTCCCAAAATGCATAATAAACTATATATTTAAAAGTAAAAACATATCTATGTAAAACTAGAAAAGTTTAAAGGACAGAAAGATATATGTAAACCAAAAACTTGGTGGTCTCAAAAGGGATATAGAAGAATCTTTTAAAATATTTGAAAACAGGGTAGTCTTTAAATAAATAAGAAAGATAATTAACTGTGATACACAGGAGATACAATGAAGTTTAAGACATGCAAGTTTACTTATTCAAGTGGCTATAAATAAAACCACCAGTAATGAGATGGACACCATGATATGCACTCAGAAAGATGCATCACTTCTATATAGGGGTTCTGCTAAAAATGCACATGTATAATTAATGAGGAAGCATCAAATAAAACTTAAGGGACATTCTACAAAATAACACACTTAAACCCTTCAAAAATGTCACTAAAGACAAAGGAAAACAGGCCGGACGCCATGGAATACATGTAATCCAAGTGGCTCAGCAGGCAGAAAGAAGCAGGAGAATCATGAGTTCAAAGCCAACCTCAGCAAAAAAAAGCCAAGGTGCTAAGCTACTCAGTGAGACCCTGTCTCTAAATAAAATATAAAATAGGGCTGGATGTGGCTCAGTGTTCAAGTGCTTCTGAGTTCAATCCCCGGTACCAAAAAAAAAAAAAAAAAAAAGACAGAGAAATTGTTCCAGATCAAAGGACAATAAAGTGATATAACAAATCAGGCAGCTTGTGAGCTAGGGTTGACCCTTGGACAAGGAAAACAATTGTTTTCTTAATGAAAAAGTAACTCATTTAGAAAATAATAATTTTAAAAATCTGTAGGATTTAGCCAAGGATCCTGGAAATTTGTTCACTAAGATAGATAAGACGAGTACATATACACATACATATGTACATATATACTAGATATCTATTACATTCCAGGTACTATGCCCAGGAGTGGGAATACAATTATGAGCAAGAGGATCTTTCAGGCAAGAGCAAAAGAGAAATAAGTGCACACAAGGTTAGAATGTAGGGAAATAAGTGACAGAGTGCAACTCAGGGAGCATATAGAAAGGAAATCTCACCAGGACCAAGGTCACAGGAAGTCCTTCCGGTGGAGCTGGTACCCAAGTACTGACCTGAAATATAACCAGGAATGGACCAGGCAAAGCCCTATGTGTTACTCCTCATAGGGCCTGGCTTGACCAGAAACATTTCTCTAATTGTATAATTAAAATAGTAATTTTCCGGATTTAGTAGTGGAAACACTAGTGGATCCTTCAAAAATTATCACCAGGACAAGAATTACCAAGTATTTCTGGGAAAAAAAAAAAAAAGAGACATTCCAAAATCAGCTGGTCTTCTGAGAGCTATAGCATCTTCTGGATTGTAGAGATAAGAGAGATTTCCTCATCCTCTTCACACAACCACTTTAGGAGGATGTTTCAAAATGGAGGAGCAAGGGTAATGAGCTAGGCAAAGTAAGTTTGATCTTTTCATCGTTTATAACACAGGAATAGAATTTAGAAATCCTCAGAACACTAAACAAGAGGTATTGTCTGTTTTTATCCTGCTGAAATCAGAATGTCTGACAAGATGTCTGACCAGTTGAGACTGAGAGATTACAGATATCACAGAACTCTTTTCCCCATTTGTGATTA